CAGCCAACTGAAGATGTGGAGAATATTCATTTACATTGCAAAAAATTTCCAATTCCCAACAAAACTGTTAATATATTTAATAGAAATTGAATGCGATCATTTGAGCAAATGCAATAAGTAAGTCATTTTAGTTTTCATCAAGTTTCTAACAGTGAAACTATCAAATTCTTCAACAAAAATATCCATCCAATAATAATGATTCGAACTGTTTTAACCTGGATGGCCATACAGCTGTTTGAGCTTAGCAATCGTCCTGACAGGTATTATACCGTCCAGATCATTCCAGTTCTCAATAGCGCTCAAGTTACACCATTTGCGGAATGCAGCATATCTCAACTAACAATTATTATTTGAAAGCATCATTTTGAAATTTTCTTTCTGTGAACATCTCTCAGTATAGTATCTCTGATAGGATGTCTTGTATCAGGTTAAACGATGAAATTAGTAGTCCGGAATGGTACAATCGTGAAACTGCTAGAATTCAAATTGTTCAGAGATGTTTCGCAGAGCAAACCAATAAGGATGCCATCATTATGGAAAACATTTCAATGAGGAACCAGTAAACTTGATAAAGTAAACGAGCAATACTACCAAATATCCACGTACCCAGGTAAACCATGATCACGACCTCGTTGAATATTCAACGATGCCAAATCGAGAGCAAGCTGAAAGCAGACCGAATAATGAATGCATCAAGTTGATTGAATCGAACCAAGATATCCAGAAACAGACGTGATCATAGATCAGATCAATGTATTCATTTGAATGAGAATTGACGAATGATACTTGTTTCAAGCAAAAAGATCATTTTGTTCGCAATTTCCCGGGAAGATTCCTCCAAAACTTCTTCAATGTTTCAAATTTCACAATGTATTCAATAGGGAAAATCAAGAAATGAGACATTCAAACGACACCAACATTATATGCACGATGGAACAATTGTTCAGTGAGTTCTTTGTTGAGCAATTCTTCGGATAAAGGTTTCTTCATTGGTGATGCGAAAAGACCTCGTAGAAGAGGATCGATTCCACCGGCGGCCAAGAAGGTTTCAGGCGCAAAGAAGGCATCACGCAGCGAAACATGACCCTCACGTATCGGTTTGAAATCAGCGTTCAGTCTGAACATTTTGATGAAACAGGAATATTCCAAGTGTTGAATGTTACTTAAGTGGATGTAAACGGAGCGAGTGAACAATAACAATATTATTAAGAAATTGGTGAGTTTCAATTGGGTTGAGATAATGATGCATGGTCAAAAAAACCACTGGATTACCTATAAAGAACAGGACTGATGAGCGTGTGTCCAAAACGGAATGCAGCCGTAGCGAATTCATTCGAAATACTCGCATCAATCTCAGGGTAATAGCCACGATACGGTCCTATCAGACGCTTGAAGTTGTCCTGAAATGATCTAACCTCTGATTCTTGGACGTTATGAACTAGTAGTTGTTTTATCAGGTATAGGCACTTTTCAGAATTCGCTTAAATGTTGTTCATTCTCATTTTAAGATTTACACTCATTGTGAAGGCGGCGAAGCATTCAATCAAAATACTTGCTAGTTGTGGAAAAGAAGATCCCTTACGTTAGTTCAGTAGAGAACGAAATCAACCATCAAACATGCCTGAATTTCATATTATTTGTACGTAATGAAACTTGAGCAAATGACCGTGTCCTAACCTGACCAAGTACTTTGGGTAACCAGTGATAGAAGGTGATATGCTGCATCTGCGCACCGACAATCTTTCGTGTCTCTTGGAAGATTGTCTCACTGTCCACGCCCGGATTGTAACCTTCCATTATTGCTGCTATACGATTGTGTTCTCGTAGGAATATCGTATGCATAGCCGTTAGACCCAACTGAAGTGTTTGAATGCATTACGTCTTCTAATGATTTTCAAAAATATCAGATCATATCGTTTACAGATCGCATATCAGCACATATCAGTACAAGTAACAAATGTGGCAATCGAAGCAAAAACAATCGTGAAACATGTTCACTGAGTGGTATATGTGAACATCATGGAATTTTTTCATCTTCT